TATATATACATGTACTACCATGATACATCAGATAAGAGGATATGTAATGAGATCTATTTTTAGAGAGATCGGTTATGAAATCGAACTTACATTAACATACTGCTGCTCAGTCGTAATTGCACCACCAATTGTTAGAGCGACGTCTTGCACGACGGCTTTGAAATTCTTTCTGAAATCACGAAGTAAAGAAATTTATAGAAAACAGTTATATTAGATACAGTTTCACACTCTGATACTATGACCATTTAGTATTGTTTTTATTTTTCTTTTAAGGTTGTGTGAATCCTCAAGTCAAGATAATGACATAGTATTCAAATTTTAATAATCAGTAAGTATTACATTAATAGAACACTGTGCAAAATTTTACAAACTTCACGAGGCTATTAAGAAAGTTGTCACGTCTTGAATTCTTATGTTGAATGGAAAAATTTTGATTTCATTAATGAGAAAAAGTAGGTGCAATAATGAGAGAATTTTGTGAAAAACCACACAATCTAAAGTAAACGTAACAATGACGGTAAAAAGACAAAAAGGTACAAAGTCAATTACATTCTTCGGATGTGTTCATATTCTTTGAGCATGAAATTGAAAACGATCTCGGGACCGGTTTGATGTCTGGATACCACGTTGATCGCAGCGGTCTGGAAATCGATTGAGTAGTTTGGATCGAGAGTTGAGTTTAGGTATTTCTTCAGAATCTCAGACGAGTTGGAACAGGCTAAGGCCTCCTGCAGATCCTTCCTATTGTCGTCGTCGAGCGCAGATGCAATTATGTACTCCAGAGTACGGGTCCACATGCTCTGGTTCGCGTACCTGACCCCAGCGCAGAGAATTTCTGTCTTCAGGTTAATGTCCAATCTGTGCAGAAGATTACGTTAAGAATATATTGCAAAAAGTTATTTATCAAAAGATATGAATACAATATTAATTGCCTGTCACATAATTATTTCTAGACTGCGGATTTTATACATTTAAGAAGAAATGAAATATGGTGCGTCGCGAACTGCACCTGATACACGCCGAATTAACTTTGTGTATCTATTTCAAAAAATCAACTGGACTGTATTCGTTTTTGTAGATCCGCCGCGATTCTAGAACGCGAATGATTGTCTCGAATGCGCGATCTATACACTGCGTACACTTGACGCAAAATTCGTTAATGAAAAGTTCGTAGTCGAAAACCGATGTCGAAAGTCGAAGTCGAAAGCCAATGTCGAAACTTGATGTCGAAATGAATGCTGTTGACCCAACGTTTCAACTTGCTTCGTTCTGCACGACTCACCGACTCACGTCGCAAGACCCGGACTCTGACGCTCGTCCTGTCTTCGGGGTTTTTCCCCCTTTTCTTCCCTTTTCTTAAAAACATGTCCCCACCACCTAGCGAAGTGGGTCTTAGGTTTCGCGAAACATGTGGAGCCTTCGAAGAGGCCGGACGAACCCGGAAAGTTCCTCCAAGTGGTCACCGCATGACGGATCATTAAGCCGGACGTTTGCTTAATACCCTTTGGAACCCCAGTTTATGGCAAGGTTGGTCATTGAGGTACGAGGAAAAAAGATAAAATAGACATGGCATGCCATTAGCCAGTCGTAATAAAAATAGGAAAAAGCTTAAATCCTCCAAAATAACCTTTCCCGCACGTTCTTGCTATTAACTGTCCCGACGAAGCCTCCACTTTTTTACATTGTTGTTCCTTCGAACGGAACAAAATATAAACACTAATGCATAGAAATATACGGAATACTAAATGGAAAATGCATTTCATAAAACATTAAGAAAAATTCTATTCAAAATATATTTCTATAGTTTACTGTACACAAGAAACCATAGTCTACATATTACACTCGCATGCAAAATTTGTAGGAAATTGGGAAGCTATATAGTTTTGAAGTTATATCAATGTGTTTTTATTGGATTTAGTGGAATGGAACTGCATTGTTATATTAAATTGAAAAGAAACTAAAGAAAATAGTGATAGGATTTTTAAATATACAA